AGACAGGAGGGTGTGTGTGGAGAAAGGTATATATAAGTTGTGTAGAGCCATATCCCCTTTGAGCTATGATAGGTACTATAACTATTATGGTCCTTATTGTGGTTCCTTGTATGCATACAATAAGGCTTGCTGGATGAACAAACACTTCAGACTCGAATGTCTTGGTTTCTACAAACCTTTGCACAAAAGCCCTTTGTGCTGGATAACGTTTAAAGCTATTACTTCACGTGATATTTATTCATGATAGGCCACTGGCCCTGGCGTTAAATTAAATACACTTTTTACTGACAACAAGTGATGAAGTTCTAAGTCAGGAGAGGGACGGGTTGCGACTGACCTCTCTGAATATTTCCATTTGCCACTGCCTACTTTTACTAATCATATTAATGTTTTTAATATACAGTAGGTTACATGTTTGATTTGCAGGACCAAAAGAATGCTATGGAAAAAAAAACAAAATGTTTCATTATGCCATGCTTTGTGTCTTTTTCCCCTCCATAGTGTCTCAGAATACATTACCTAAAAAAAATCGTAAAACCGTGATTATCCGCTGAGACTATAATCGTACAATCAAAATCTCACACCGTGACATCCCTACTCCTCATTAATGATCAACTAAAATTGCAACCACATTCAAGGAAATCTGAAAGCTTTATTAGGATTAAAAGACTGGTGTTTTCATTAAGTGATGATAGAAGTTGTCAACTAAATGCATTTCAGGTGGGGAGCTGCATTTCCATGCATTTGCATGCGTAGGCTGCAAAGGAACTGTAATAGGTGTTTTCCTTGCTGAAAGGAAAAGAAAGAAAACACAACGTTTCGGGTGTGAGCTCACACCTTTGCAACTAAATGCATTGTCTAGTTATAGATTATATTAACCAGCACTTTCTGACACTGTCATGTAAACTATCTGTTGCTTGTTTACAATTGAAAAAATAATTGAGGACCGCATACAACATAATTGTGTTTTACAATAGCGTCACGGTTTTGACATAAGTAAATATGTTAATCTCATGAAGAATCATTAATCTGGCCCTGGTCAACACCGACACTACTCGTGATTTACACCTGCACATCAACAACTTGCAAAAGTAGCTGCACCGGAAGTGCAGCATCGTCACTTCCTCCCCAAACAATCATGGCTGCCCCCAGTCGGAAGAATGTCTTGAGACTATTGTCCCGGTTCGGGGCGATTATTCTAACCCGGTTCGGGTTCTGGAACTGCTTCAGCATGCTGATGTTGTTTGCGGAGCGGGCAGATGTCAACAGGTGAGCAGACGAAAAAAATCCACTTAGATGGTTTTTATTCTCGTGTTTATTATGCGGCACAGGCAGATGCGTTAGTGGTCTACGATGATGCGCTTTTTTTATTTATATGCATAGTTATAATGTAATTGAGTTGTAATTTCATGAGTAAATTAACGCTTCGTTTATGCTCCGCTGTGCTGGCGATATATGCATTGTAATTTTGGTCGAAACAGGCGTATTCGGTCTGCATTAGAGATGTTAGATCTGTCGTTCCTGACAAGAGTTTACGCGCGTTAATGAAACATTCGGGAATAAAGCAGACTTAGCTTAATGAGAGAAAGCTTATACGAGAAGTGTTCTACACTGAAATAATATTCAATTTAATCGTTTCTAATAGCGGGTTTTAATTTAAAAAAATCGTACGTGTGTTGTTCGGGCGTGACGTTTGTGATCCCAATTTCATATTTATCTCTGTTCTTTTTTTGTTAAACCACGAGCAAAAAGCAAGATGACAAGATGAAACCTTGCCAGCAAGGCTGCACGGGCGTTTTCAAGTAGTAAACCAGTAATTTGTGGGAAAGATCTTAGCTGGAATTAATTCCTATCCCGACCAGAAGTAGACACGCCCTGTCTTACAAACAGCTCGACAGCCCCACCATCTGTAAAACTGTGCTCTCTCTCTCTCTTTCTGCAGGAAGCCTGATATTAATATGCCGTATCTGTATGTCGATATGGGGGCGGCTGTACTGTGTGCCAGTTTCATGTCCTTTGGGGTGAAGAGGAGGTGGTTTGCGTTGGGTGCTGCCCTGCAGTTAGCTGTCAGCACCTACGCTTCCTACATCGGAGGACAGGTGTACTATGGCGACTGGCTAAAGGTGCGTAGGGGTGGACTGTGCTACAGAGGTGCCAATTAACGGAGGACAGACCTTAAAGGGGTTCCTTTTCCTTGTGCTTCTATACCTGCTCTGCACCCACATCCCCTTACCTTGGCTGTAAACCTGTTGTCTTGCCCCTCCAGGCCTGTTAAGTCATGTAAATAGCTTCACGTGGCATCCCTAATATTTAGTGTCGTGGAGTGTCAGTTTTAAAATGTGAGCAGGATAAAAACGCATAGACTGGGGAGAAGGTGTGGGTCCGGGGGGCTGGTGCTCTTTATGGAAATAGGCTGGACCTGTAGGCACTGGAAGGTTCAGTCGTGAGAGACACACGGGGGCCTTTGCCAGCAGAGCAGTGCCACATGGTGGGGCAGTCCGGTCAGCCGCAGTAGCAGCCAGGCGAGTGGGGGCACGTCCGATGGTGCTCTCTTTGCTTGCAGCCGCCTTTTGTTTTTTATTTTTTCTAAATGCCAGCTGTACCTCCTCCCCAGGTGAGGATGTACTCCAGAGCGATTGCCATCATCGGGGGCTTCCTGGTCCTGGCCAGTGGGGCAGGGGAGGTGTACCGGCAGAAACCCCGCACAAGGTCGCTGCAGTCGACAGGCCAGGTCTTCATAGGCATCTACCTGATCTGCGTGGTGAGTACATCCTCGTGACGGCAGCAGTGCTGGAAAAATCTCAGTGTTGAGGACAAGGA